AACATGTAGTAAGGCTGAGAGCGAGTGTGTCTTAGGAACCATAAACCTGGTGTTCCTTCTGTGGGTCCTAGTTTCAACATATCTCTCAAAACATGAGCATCTCACCACCTGGAGCAGAATTTCAGAGCTTAAAGATAAGCCACACTTTTGCCTTCAAACCAAAACTAAGGTTTCATTTCATCAGGTGCTCCACCCAAGAAATGATGATGAGTCCACATCCAATATTGACAGAAACCAGAGAAGCTGGACTTCCCAAGGGGCTATGTTGCCTTCAGCCTTTTTGGGGGCTTCTCCAAGGCAATTTTGACTGCATGGGTTTGGCCCTAAATGCTAGCTTTTTGTTTGTTTGTTTTTGTTTTTGTTTTTGTTTGTTGTTTTTTAGCTAAGGTCTCACTCTGTTGCCCAGGCTGGAGTGCAGTGGTGTGATCTCAGCCCACCACAACCTCCACCTCACGGGTTCAAGCAGGAGTGTCCCTAAACACTGGCTTTAAAATACAATGCCTGGGGAAATTGGGGACTTCATCTTGTTTCAAGGCTAGGTAGATCCCAGCCTGTGAATCTTTGAGTCTTGGGCCTTTGGAAAGGCAAAGCATCTTGATTATGAGAGAGCAGCTCTCATTCTCATCGACAAGAGGCAACCCAAAATATTTTAGACATTGGAGCATAAGCCCAACGCCGGCAGCGTGTATATGTGGGGTGGAGGCAGGAGGATCACCCAGCGGCATTGAATGCTTTTGTGCCAGCATGCGATGCTGATAGATACACAGCAACTGGGCTCTGGGGAAAAGACATGGTTCCAGGGTGCCCTGCGGAGGTTCTAAAGAGATGAGCCTTGTTAGAGCCACACTGCCACGACAGCCAATCGCCTGGGTCAGGTACTCAGGATCATTGAATGCTTTGTAAAGCCTGGATCCCCAGCTAGAACAATAATACTACACCCTTCCAGAAGGAGAAGAAAACCTGCCCACTTACCTTTACTTCCTGCCCACTGCCGTGCCACTGCCTTCTACTGGTGTACTAGAAAGGGTGAGAGAGACCTGAGTTTGCATTCCAGCTCTGACAATTACCAGCTATTATCCTTGGCCAAATCAAATGACCTGATGGAGCCTCTGTTTCCACATCTGTAAAATGGGAGTAATGATAATAAAACACCAAAAGATTGGAAAGGGTAAATGATCATCTTGAATATAATAATTATAAGGTGTTTAGCACATAGCAAGCACCTGAATAAAGTGTTTTCTGTGGCTGGGCACAGTGGCTCACACCTGTAATCCCAGCACTTTGGGAGCCCAAGGCAGGTGGATCACTTGAGGTCAGGAGTTGGAGACCAGCCTGGCCCACATGAAGAAATCCCATCTCTACTCAAAAGACAAAAATTAGCTGGGCATATTGGCATATGCTTGTAATCCTAGATACTCAATAGGCTGAAACAGGACGATTGCTTGGATCCAGGAGGCAGAGGTTGCAGTGAGCCGAGATCACACCACTGTACTCCAGCCTGGGCAACAGAGTGAGACTCTGTCTTAAAAAAATAAATTAATTAAATTAAATTAAATTAAATTAAATTAAGTGTTTAAAAATTTTTTTAATTAAAAAACAAAAAAGTAGAGACAAGGTCTCATCATGTTACCCAGGCTGGTCTCGATCTCCTGGGTTTAAGCTATCCTCCCTTTTCAGCCTCCCAAAATGCTGGGATTACAGGAGTGAGCCATTGAGCCTGGCCTAAAGTGTAATTACTGATAGAGCATCAACATCCTCTTCTTGAATGTCAGAGCTGGAAGGAATTTTTGGATCAATGTGTGTTATGCTACATCTATTCTTCCTGCTTTTGACAAATATTGACTGAAGACCTCTTAAGTACTGGGTTTTGCCTAGATGCTGGGAAGACAGGTTGGGGAGGAAGATAGAAGAGGTATCTGCTGTAGGTGTTCCCGGCTGAAGATGCAGACAGGAAGAATGAATTATTCTGCCTGCCTTCAAAGTCACATCAAATTCCTGGGCTGCATGGTCTGGTGTCTGGTTCACCAGGATGTCCTGAGGGGCAGTTAGCCTTCCTCAAGGAGGTGACACACAGATGGAGACCTGGGAGGGTTCACTGAGCTAGGGGTGCTGAGAGAAGCAGCTCCAACCTAGACAACAAGACGATCATTCTGATCCTTCTCCTTAGCCTCTCAACTGAGATCTGCCAATTCTGTCTTCCAAACATCTCTGGAACCAAAACGCCCCCTCCATGCCCACATCCCCTCTCTGGGTTCCTGAATTCTTTCAACACCCTCCAAACCAGTTTCTGCCTGTTACTTCTTCATGCAGCAGCCAGATGGATCTCTGCAGAAAGTGGGGCTCACCATGCCCTTCCCTTGCCGAATACCTTCCCTGTCTCTCCATCACCGCAAGAGAAAAGCCCCGACTCCTCCCCATGGCCCACAGAGCTCTGCAGCATGCAGCCCTGCAGATACCTCTGATCTCTTCTCTCACCTCCACCACATCCTGTCCACTCTGCGTTTCATGCAAGGCCCCACACTCGCCTCCTTCCTGCTAGGCCTTTGCACCTGCTGGTGCCCTCTTCCAAGCATCCCCACCCAAGCCTCTGGCATGTATACACACCCCTGGCCCTCCCTCCCTGGACCAGGTTAATCTCTGTTGCTCCTGCCTCGTCAGTTACAGGTGCTCACTTTACTGTGGAGGCTTGTCAAAGGATCTAGCTTCCCCAGTTTGGACACAGGACCCTTGTCGCCCTGTTAGCTGCTGAATCTGTGCCTAGCACAGAGAGCTCAGGAAATGCCATTGCTAGAATGTTATTAAACAAATGCCTCCATTCAGACCTCTTCCTCTGATCTCCATTTTGTTCATCCACAAAAGGACATTAGAAAACACCCTGCTGGTGTTTAATCTATGTGTCTACCAGATCAGTCATATGAAGTCTCTAACAGGCACGTAATAAACACTATGTAATATTGTTGTATGGTTTCCAGACCAGTCATGGCCGGCTCCATGGAGGCAGCATTACCAGTCCTAGCATTTTCCATATGGTAGGCACTATTTATCAGACACATGAATGAATTAATGAACGACCAATGAATGAACACATGGCTGGCCATGTGCAAATTACTTAATATCTGTGTGCCTTAGTTTCTGTGTGTGTGTGTGTGTGTGTGTGTGTGTATAGTTTTTCACCCGGATGCGAGTGCAGTGGTCGATCTACACTCCTGTAACCTGCCTGGAGTTCAAGTGATTCTCATACTGTAACCTCTGCTTCCTGGGTTCAAGTGATTCTCATGTCTCAGCCTCCCAAGTAGGAGGAATTACAGGTGAGCAACACCATGCCCCACTCATTTTTTTTTTTTTTTTTTTTTTTTTTTTTTTTTTTTGAGGCCGAGTCTCGCTCTGTCACCCAGGCTGGAGTGCAGTGGCGCCATCTTGGCTCACTGCAACCTCTGCCTCCAGGGTTCAAGCGATTCTCCTGCCTCAGCCTCCTGAGTAGTTGAGGTGCACGCCACCATGCCTGGCTAATTTTTGTATTTTTAGTAGAGATGGGGTTTCACCATATTGTTTGGGCTGGTCTTGAATTCCTGACTTGGTGAGCCACCCGCCTCAGCCTCCCAAAGTGCTGGGATTACATTTTTTTTATTTATTTTTTTGAGATGGAGTCTCACTCTGTTGCCCAAGCTGGAGTGCAGTGCAATCTCAGCTCACTGCAATCCTTGCCTCCTGGGTTCAAGCGATTCTCCTTTCTCAGCCTCCTGAGTAGCTGGGACTACAGGCGTGTACCACCACACCCGGCTAATTTTTGTATTTCTAGTAAAGACAGGGTTTCGCCATGTTGGCCAGGCTGGTCTCGAACTCTTGACCTCATGTGATCCACCCACCTCGGCCTCCCAAAGTCATTTTTGTATTTTTATTAGAAACGAGATTTCACCATTTTGGCCAGGCTAGTCTTGAACTCCTAGCCTCAAGTGATCCGCCCACCTCACCTCCCAAAGTGCTGGAATTACAGGTGTGAGCCACCGCACCTGGCCCAGAAATTTATTTTAAACAGATAATATATACATATAGCAAACAGAAAGTTAAAAGAGAACAAAGAACCAAAGTTCACAGTGAAAAGTAAGCCTGTATGCCTACCCTACATTTTCTTCAGGTATTCAATGCACAAGCATATGACGCATAGATAGGTCTATTATTTTTCCAATTTTACCCATGAAGAAGCAGAAGCACTGAAAGGTTATAGAACTTAGACCGTGCTGAGATTTATCAGTCAGGAGTTTTACTTCATTTGTGTATATCAGGGTTTCACAACCTTTACGCTATTCGGCATGTTTTGCTGTGTTTTTGTTGTTGTTGTTGTTGGGGTAGTGGCAGGCCGGGGGTGGAAAGGGTGTCCTATGCACTGCAGGATGTTTAGCAGCATCCCAGTCCTCTACTCACTAGATGCCAGTAGCGCCTCTCCACTTCCCCAGTTAGGACAACCAAAAATGTCTTCAGAGATTGCCACATGTCGTAGTGGTGGAGGGATGTCAGGGCAAAATCCCTGATAAATGGATAGAATGTGGTATATCCACAAAAACCCCCTCCAAAATCACTGGTGTGTATGAATATACATCAGACCACTACTTTATTTTTTCTGTGTTGTACACAAACAGTAGCACAAATACACGCCGCTGCGGGTCTACTTTTCTTTTCTTATACCACTTTTTGGTGATTATTCCACTTCATTGCTTACCGGCAGAAAGGAACTTCTCTTAAATAGAACCGTCCGGGAGAAGTGGTGAGCTGCCCGTCCTAGGGGTAAGGCGGGGGTAGACAGGGGCTTCCAGGGCGGCGGGGCGGAGCTCCCGGGGCGAGCCTCCGGGAAACTCCCCAGCCAGTCTCTGCTCACCTCGCGGTCCCGAGGCGCAGTGGAGGGGACGGGGCGGGGCGGGGCCGCGTCTCGGGCCCGCCCCCGTACGTCACGTCGCCGCGGCCCCGCCCCCGTGCGGGCACCTCCCCCTTCCCCGGCCGGGGCGGCTGGAGAGCCGGGAGTCGCTGGGTGCGCGGGGCTGCCTCGCAGCGCCTCGCCACGGTAGGTGGCCCTGGGGCGGCGGAGCGGGGGGCCTGGGGCTGCAGCCGGGGGCGCGGGCTCAGGGCCGTGCGGGTCGGCCTCGGGCGCCTGGCAACCCTCCGTCCTGGCGGCTGCCTCCGGGCCCGGCGCGACTGCTCGGGCTCCGGGGCTGGGAGCTGGGATCTGGGAGGCAGGCAGGCGGCGCGGGCGGGCGGTTCTGGGATCCGCACCCGCTCGGCGTCCCGAGCGCTTTCCGCGGGGTGCGGCACCCACCGGGCCCCCGTTACCGCGCTTCCCGCTTCGGACCCAGCGCCTGGGAGACGCTCAGCGTCTGTTGGGGGGGGACCTGGCGGGGAGGGCGGCGCGTCCCCGCCTTCGGAGTCTCCAACCCCGCCCAGGCGCGCGGGGACCCCCAGGCGGGCGCCGGGGCGCGTGGAAGTTAACTTGCAGCAGTCGTGGAGTTGCGCGGAGCGTCAGAAGTGGAGGCGTTGGGGGCGGAAATCGTCGGCTGGGGAGGTGGGCGCTGGGAGCTCGGGGTTGGGGAGCCCTAGTGAACTTGGAGGTCACTGGTGAGGAGCGGAGAGGAATTTGACCTGAGGATCCCACCCCCGCTCCCAACCTCCCTCCGTAACCTATGCTTCTCAGTGTGAGCTGGATGGGAGGTGCCCGGAAAGCCGGGACTGGGAGGGGTAGCGGGGGACGGGGAGCGTGGGCTCAGAGGCTGAGCACGCCTGACCTGGCAGAGTCGTTGTTAGGTGGGACAGAGGTCGAGGTCTGGCATTCCCACTTAAAGGCCCGTTCCCTAGGGAAAGAACCATCCACTTCAGCACAGTCATTAGAAAGCACCGTGCCTAACATCTTGCCCCCTTCCCCTTTTACAGATGGGGAGACTGAGGCTTCGAGAGGTCACCTGCCCGTGACCCTAGGACCCACAGCTAGGTTGTGGCAGAGCTGAAACTCACTCACAGGCCTCCTGACTTAATGTCCTATGGGGATGTTGAGGAGGCGGGTTGGTGAACTCCTACTTATCCTACAGAAGCCCCCTCAAGCAGCACCTCCTCCGGGAAGCCTTCCCTGGCATTCTCCTGGTATTGTTGGGTGCTTCCTGTTTTGAACCCCACAGAGGTAGCCAGCCCTTTTTCTCACTTCCCAACAGACATTGCCTTGCATGTCTGTCTGCCGGACTGGGCTGTGGGTGGACACCTCTCCCTAGCCTCCATCTGATAACCCTTTCACCTCAGCAGGGTGGTCTGATGGCGAGGGTAGGCTTCTGGATTTGAACAGATCTGTGACTCACACCTGGATTTAGTAGTGATGTGGCCCGGGCGACCCATTTTCCTTCTGATTTAGCCTCAGTTTCCATAACTGTAAAACTGGGTTTATTTCATTGTCCTAAAGGAATTGTTGCATCATATCTGAATCCCCCCACCCCACTGAACCCCAATTGTATTATTATTTACTTACTATATATCTTTATATCACCTGATTTTTAAAAATCTCGTGCAAACTTTTTATAACAGCTTTGTTGAAATACAGTTCACATACCGTACAATTCACCCTTTTAAATTATATGTTTCCGTAGTTTTTAGGATGTTCAGAGTTGCACAGCCATCACCACTGTCTAATTTTAAAACATTTTTGTCATGCCCAAAAGAAATGCTGTTTCATGGTCACTCCCCAATCCTTTCTTCCCCTATCCCTTGGCAACCACTTACTCACTCTCCAATTCTCTATGAATTTGCCTGTGCTGGACATTTCATATTAATGCAATCATATACTAGGTAGCCTTTTGTATCTGATGCTTTTCACTTCAGAGAATGCATGTATCAGTACTTCATTCCTTTTTGTGGCTGAGTAATATTCTATTATGTGGATATACCACATTCTGTCCATTTGTCAGTTGATGGATGTTTGGGTTGTTTCTAATTTTTGACTGTGATGAATAATATTGCTATGAACATTCATGTACAGGTCTTTGTATGGACATTTTCAGTTCTCCCAGGTATATTTCTAGGAGTGGAATGGTTGGGTCATAAGGTAACTTTAGGTTTCACCTTTAAAGTTATTTTAAACTTATTTTATTATTTATTTATTTATTTTGTAGAGATAGGGGTCCCACTATGTTGCCCAGGCTGGTCTCGAACTCCTGGTCTCAAGCGATCCTCCTACCTCAGGCTCCCAAAGTGCTGGGATTATAGGTGTGAGCCACCGCACCCAGGTTTAACCTGTTGAGGACCTGCCAGACTGCTTTTCCAGAACAGCTATACCATTTTATATTCCCACCACCAGTGTATGAGGGTTCCAGTAATCTTAAATACATTTAGTGTTCTCTGCGGCAGTCATAACCCTTGACATCGCTGGCTTTGATGTGTTAATTACAAACTATTTTCAGGCCAGGTGCAGAGGCTCACGCCTGTAATCCCAGCACTTTGGGAACCCAGGCGGGCAGATCACCTGAAGTCAGGAGTTCGAGAGCAGCCTATCCAATATGGTGAAACCCCGTCTCTGCTAAAAATACAAAAATTAGCCAGGTGTGGTGGTGTGCACCTGTAATCCCAGCTACTCGGGAGGCTGAGGCAGGGGAATCCCTTGAACCCGGGAGGTGGAGGTTGCAGTGAGCCAAGATCAATCACACCACTGCACTCTGGCCTGAGTGACAGAGCAAGACTGTGAAAATACTGAAGCAAGGGGAGGCAGTGTAGGACCCAGTGGCTTACAGAGCCCACCCCGGGAGCTGGCACACAGTATTAGGAGGGGGTGAAAGGAAGGTGGAAGCTGCTGGGATCTTCCCACCCCAGGGCAGCCTGGAGCCCCCTTGCCAGCTGAGGCTTTGTGGAGGTCAGGGAGACCCTCCATGGCTCTCCTAGACTATAACTGAAGGGGAAGACTTGTCCCTTGACCCCCAAATTAAGTCTGGTCCTGCTCACACTCTATCTGGAACCCCCACACCACTCTGAAGGTGACCTCTGTGGATGGCCACAAGAGTGTCCTATGTGAGTTGCTGCTTATCTCAAGAGGGGCCAGCCCCCAGGCCTGAAATGAGAAGTCCTGAGTTACAGACGCTTCATCCGTGAACATTCTGCACATACAGACTTCTTCCCCCTCCTCTCAGCATCTTCCCCACCCCTAGGACCCTGTGTTTCTTCCTTCACGCTCTTTGCTTCAGCAAGAGGCTGCACCGGAAGAACTCAGGTCAGAACCCAGCATTTTCACAGAGGAAGAGTTCCTTGAAGGTAGTTAGTTCACCCCAGCTCAAACCTGTACTCTGCCGGTTCAGGAACTTAAACCAGCACTTATCTGCATGTTCCAGTTTCCTGACAACTTGGTTCATCTGGGACAGCTGCTGTTTGGGAATGGCGTTAAGACCACGCCTCCCAGCCTCTGTATCTGGCACCTCATGATTTTATTCTTTTTTACATACTTGCCTTTCCTTGTCCTTTTAAAATCCTGAATTCCTGTGCCTTAAGAAAGCAGCCTAGGCCAGGTGCATGGCTCATGCTTATAATCCCAGCACTTTTAGAGGCTGAGGTGGGTGGATTGGTTGAGCCTAGGAGTTTGAGACCAGCCTGAATAATGTAGTGAAACTCCATCTCTACAAAAAATACAAAAATTAGCCAGGCGTGGTGGTGCGCACCTGTATTCCCAGATGGTTGGGAGGCCGAGGTGGAAGGATCGCTTGAGCAGAGGTTGCAGTGAGCTGAGATCGCACCACTGCACTCCGGCCTGGGTGACAGGGCAGGATTGTAGGGTATTAGGTCAGTACACAAAAATCAATTAAATTTTTTTTTAAAAAGACAGGAAAAGAAAGCAGCCTGGGGACATGGAGACGGGGTGGGAAGGCTCCCTAGGCAAGGAACTGCCCCTCTCTGGGTCTCAGTGTACCCTACTGAGGAATGGGCATAGACCATTCAGAACTAAGATGTGATGGCACCTTGGGATCGGTTAGGCTGTTGAAATGTATTATTGATGTAACTTTGTGGGTGTATTTGTAGCAAGAGTGGCAGGTCAGATATAGCTTCACAGCCTGGGGTTGGTGACCAGAATGTACCTTTTTGGAAACATGAGTGTGGCTTGTGTGGCTTTGATGCCCCATGTGGCACCAGGGAAGCTTCTCTGGGTAGCAGCAGCTCCTGCTCCCCGACTTGCTGCCTATTCCTATTGCTTGCAAGTCCCTTTGCTCTTTGAGGACCTGCGTGTACCCTGTCTAGGGCCCCTCCAGAGGTCTGGGATGACTGTCCCCTCGCCTGTCACTTCTCAGGTCTCCCCCACCCTGGACTGCAGCCAGGGGAGGATTTGTGGGAATGATTCATTCAGAGCTGCCTGAGATCTTGGCCAAGCCCCAGAAACTGCAGGGAAGGACCTCAGAGGGCAGTGCCCACAGGCCCTAGGGAACGTCTGGGGCTGATGGCCCGGGGAGAAACTTCTTATCCAATGTGCTCAGATGGCAGGGAGCCAGCCCATCTGCCGAGAGACTTTTTGTATCAGTAAGACTTTTGACCCGGGCTTCTGCAGCCAGAAAGCAGGCAGGCAGCCCAGAAAGCAGGCAGTGTGATAGGGAGCTGGGGGTACTGGCCTGTGTTAGAATCTGGGTGCTCCACATCTTTCTGGGGCTATTGGCTGTTTCTCTATGCTTTGGTTTTCTCATCTGCTGAATACAGTAGGACCTGTCTCCCAGGGGTGTTGGATGGAAGGGAATGGTGGTAAAGCACTTACCCTGGTACCAGGCAAAAGCTGAGGCCCTGGCGTTAAACAGGCTCTTTGGAATCTTGAACGTGTTCCTTTGTGAACCTTAGTTCCTCCATCTGTCAAAAGGCAGCAATTATAAATACAGCCAATATCAACGAGGCTTGCTAGGTGCCAGACACTGTTCTAGGCACTCAATGTGCTTTAACTCATTTAATTCCTGCAGCAGCCATATGAGGTGAACAGGCTGAGGCGCAGAGAGGTGAAGTAATTTGCACAAGGTCACCCAGCTAAGAAGTGGGAGACATAGGATTTGGATCCAGAGTCTCTCTTTTTTT